AATATGATTAAATGACAATGGAAAAATGAAAGCTAGCCAGAAAGCTGCGAACATGGTCTATATTACTTCAACATCATGTACAGCTAAAAAAATTCGTTTTTTGGCCAAATTTTATCTGCAACATGAATTATTTCCACTCTCAAATCGTGGTTAACACCAAAAATACAAGCGACTTATCGACGACGAAGATATAGCATTAGCTTGTCACCAATGGATACGACAAGAATCAGGAGTAAATGGCATTAATTCGTCCCAGTTTAAACAGTATATTGAAGATATTATTCTGCCAGAATACATGGATATCAGAAAAATGATCAGCTTGCGAACAGCCAAGAGATGGTTGAATATCTTAGGTTATCGATTTGAGCAATATCGGAAAGGAATATACTTTGACAGACATGAATGAGAGGATGTTGTTGCATATCGAGAAAATTTTTTAAAAATAATAGAAAAATTGGAATGACGAATGACAAGATATGAAGGAGAAGCAATGGAAATAATTCCGCCAGCACTCGCAATAGGTGAGCAAGAATTAATTTTTGTCACTCACGATGAGTGTATTTTCTATTCAAATGATGGAAAAAGGAGAATTTGTGTGGCAAATGGGCAAATGCTATTGCGAAAGAAGGGGAATAGAAGATCGATTATGGTAAGTGAATTCCTTTCAGAGGCATGTGATCATTTAAAACTAAGTGAAGAAGAATTGACCAAACATCTAAATATTCCCATCGAGACACGTTGTTATCTTGTATCTGGCAAAAACCAGGAAGGTTATTGGACTGTTGAGCATCTACTAGAACAAATCAAGCACAAAGTAATTCCTATTTTTGAGGTGAAGTTCCCTAATGCAACAGCCGTCTTTGCCTTTGACAATAGCACCAACCATGCAGCATATACAAAGAATGCTCTTGTCGCAGGAAGAATGAATCTGGGTCCTGGAGGAAAGCAACCGATTATGCGATCGACAACTTTTATTGGTATTGATGGACAACCAACAACCTAACAAATGACATTTACCGAAGATTACTCCAACCCTACTTTACGAGAAAAACCAAAAGGAATAAAGAGAATATTGCAGGAAAGAGACCTTTGGAAGAAAGAGTTGGTTTTAGATTGTCAGATGTGTAAGAACAAGGAGTTAGCAGAGGAACCTCCATGGATAGACTGTTGCGTGAGAAGGATTATGGCCTCTCAACCCGATTTTATAGCGCAAAAGTCAGCCATTATGGAGTTAATTGAAGATGCCAACTATTTATGTATTTTTTATCCAAAGTTCTATTATGAACTTAATTTTATTGAGATATATTGGGGTATAGCTAAGCACTATACGAGAAACTATTGTGATTATACGTGGGCTGGCTTGCAGGAAACCGTTCCATGAGCACTTGATTCTGTGAACATTGTTATAATTAGGAAGTTTGTTCGAAAATTATGGAGATACATACAATTGTATCATGAAGGGTTAATGGGAAAATTAGCGGAGTATGCGTGTAAGAAATTTAGGTCACATAGACGGATTCCACAGAAGGAATTAGATGAGTTTATGATTAGCAAGAAATAAGTTTTGGATGATGAATGTATGTATTTGGATGGTGGGAAATGAATGTATGTATTTGTATAGATGATAATAAACATGTGTTGGGTGGGATATGAGGCAAGAAAGGTGAAAGCGAGATATTTTTATTATAATAAAGACTTTTTTGATCAGGATAATAATAAGATGCTTATTATAATCATAATTATGATATTGTGATACATATTATAATAATTGCATATTACATGTGTAATACACGTGATATTGTGAAAATCATGTGTATTCAAAAAAACATCGTAAATCGACTTTTTAGCCAAATGTAAATTTTGGGTTTTGAAAATGGGACAAATCACGTGATTTACATCTTTAAGTGTCGCCCACTGTACAAAATCATGATCAAAACACGTGTAACATGATCATGGATTTTTACAAACATAGAGCGGTTGAAGACTGGACTTGTGAAAAACTTGTAGAGTTTTATCGTGCTACTTCAGGACAAAAGGACAGGAGAAAAGTGCTGGATAGCATAAAGAAAGATCTCAAAAAGGTGAAAGAAACGAACTCTGAATTTGACACGACGCGTAAGAGAAAGGCCCAAAGAATCGTTGACAACTGGAAAGTATGCTTCTTTATGAGATAGAGATTTACAAGTTAGGGAAAAGCTGTGACTCTTGGTCTACAGTTATGAACTCTTTGTTCTTCCCGGGTGCAAGCTGTGACTCTTGGTCTACAGTGATGAACTCTTTGTTCGACACTCAAGCAAGCGCAAGCTGTGACTCTTGGTCTACAGTGATGAACTCTTCGTTCGACGCTTTCTTTGCTTGCATATTTATGTTTATTATATAATGTTTCTTGCGAGTACAGCTAATTCTGCATTCTTATTTATTGAGAATTGGACCACGATGGGCGATGATACAGGTTTCAAGTTCGAGTTTAGTCAGGTGAGATTTTAGCCTGAAATTTCTTTAGACAAAAAAAACATGAGTAACATTTTTTTTCGATTAGATACAACAGCAGGTGCTCGCTAATACTGTGTCTATCGATAACAACAATAATAAAGCGTTTTTCGAACAGCCATCAAGCAAATCCTCAGAACAGGTCAGCACCTGCTATCATGAGTATTCAAAAATTGGAATGTATTGAATAGCAAGTAACTTTCCTTTTAATATTCAACTCCGATATCATAAACAAAAGTATCGAGCTAAGAGTGGAAGAGAATATTCTGAATCAATTTCCAATTCATCTGAAGAGGACCATGTTGATGATGAAACCCATAAGAGGTCGAAGAGAAAAGTTGGTGGCTATTCTGAAGGCCTGCAAGAGTCAACGGAAGATGTATATGTCGTTTCAGAACATGTTCCATGTTTTGGGCTAAACTTTAACGAAGTATGTATTTTTATACTTACTATTACTTACAAATACAAAAGAATTTCTGACGATTATCATTATTACAAAAATAGGATTTAAATCATATTAACTGGGAAATTTTAGAAATTTACAATAATGCAGAACAATGGTAATATCTTTTTTAAGTTTTTTTTTAAAAACAATTACTAATACTAAATACACATGTGATTGTCTAGCGATCCCATCAAAATGGGGGTGATAAACCTTGAAGACCTCAAAAAAAATCAAACAAGAGCGTTTAAAGTGATATCAGAAATGTTTAAGAAAGACTTCAGAGACAATAATATCGATTCAAAGATGAAGACAATGCTGAGAGAAATAAGAGGTGTTTCGGATATTTCTGATGCAAAAGACTTTGTATCTAAATACATTGAAGAATTGTTATCATTCGACTTTGATATAGCTTCAGTAACTCAAAGTTTCATTGTTTCGATAGTCCATGCATTGTAAGAATTGTAATAATATATATAATTATATAACCTATTTTAAGCAATTATTGACATAATATTTTCTCCAATTTTAGCACTAGTTACTTTAGCCTTGACGAAACTTATTTTCAGCAATCGTTATCAGAAAATCACATAGCATCAATAACACACATACCCATTTTTATGAATTTATTTCGCAGTAAGAATTACTTGGTAAATATTAACAGGTAATTACTTCTTTTGTTTAAAAAACTTTTGCACATGATTCTTTAAGACTAATACATAAGTTTCATTTTCATTAATAGTGTCCTTACTGCAAACAAAGATCGTAGGAACTCAGAAAATGACTCGAGAACGCGACTTGGCTTGATCCCCGACATCAAAGTTATCTATTCCAAAAGAAGTGTAGAAATTATAGTAGTAGAACACGCAAAGAGTACATCTAGTGAAGGACGAAAGAAGAATATAGATGATACAAAAAAAATTATCGGATTGATGCATGATCAAATAACAAAGATATACAAGCTTTTTGAAGATATTGAGAGAGGTCCGATATAAAAGAGATTGAAGTATACGGGGTTATTACATCAAGTAAGTAATGCATAATGACTATAATAACTAATGTTTAAAGACTAAGTTTTTTTATAAGTTTAGAATTAGAAGTGCGAGTTTATGTTATGCACCTATCTGCTCCGGAACTATATCTTTTTTATAAAATATTTAGTTACGAATTACCAAAAACAGTTTATGATTTCGATGTACTTAGTTGTTTGACTCGATTTCGTGTAAGTTTACTTCTCTAAATTTTTTATTTTAAGATATTAATTTTTACTAACAAAATTAAAAATTTTTGTATAGAAAATTGTTGACAACAACTTTCAAAGTACAATAGTATTCTCAGGAAAGAACCATTAACGCCAACTCAGCAGATCCAGTGGGTTGTTAAGATTAAAAACTCTCCGCATGTAATAAATGAAGAATTAAAAGCAAAGAAAAGAAAAGAAGATAAAAAGGTGGATGATTCCTCCTCAAGAAAACAAACAGCTATTAAGGAAATTGCTAAGGTCAAAAATTATCGAGGTCGGAAATCAAATAAATAATGTACAGCATAACCTTAATCATAAATTGGGTTGTAGAATTATGATTGTATTGATCTTTATAATGCATGCATAGCTTATTTTATATAATTTACAATACATGTCCTTCGTTTAAGCTCAAAAAATGAATTGTAACTATACTATGTTAACTAGCAAATATAAAATATGGCTTCCTTGTGACAAGCGTTTTCACAAAAATAATATACTACGTTTTTTACTAATTATCATCAGAAATTGGCCGAAGTTCAGAGTACAGATTTGTAAAATTAGTTTGTCCGCAGGTATGTGCGACAGGGGTCTAATTCTTCAAGTGATTCCAAAGGAATTGGGTTAAAGAATTCACCCGCATCATCTTGTCAACCGATTCCTAGGACTAATCCAAATAAGATGGAATGTCTTTATCAATATGCTGTTGAACATGGTCTTGATCCCAAAAATTTTTCGGTTATTACTAAGGCTGAGAAAGATAGGTGGACTATGGGATGCTTCCGTGATGACTTGGAAAGAGATATATGCTGTTATCAAGGTGGAATAAAGAGAAAGGAAGACTCTAGAAAATATCATAAATTTTTAACAGATCGGGATAGGCTGATTGGCGAAGAATTATTACGTCGCGGTATACTAAAAAGCGGTTTAAGTACTGCATGGCTAGACGATCTGATGAAAGAATGGGAAGAAATCCATACTCAATT